CTGCCCTGCCTTGCCCCAAGTCCTCATCTGGAGACCATCATATACTGAACACCTCCTCACAATACTCCTTGCATCGCCAGAATCTCCTTGGGGCCCCCCTTGCCGGATCTCTGACACCTAAAATAAGTCCCCACTTTTAATCTTTTAATTTACATTGAATTTATTTTTTACCTTTTATTTCTATTTTTACCAATTGTACCCCACAGACACGAGGTGTCCCCACACCATTCACACCTTCAGGATTTGTGCTCTTATTGCTCCATTTCCATGCTTGAGCACTGCATTCTGGGAGGAAGTGGAGGAAGTCACATGCTTCTTCATACCCTAAAGAGCTTGGTAATATTGAGGACTGCAATGAAGCATTGGAACAGCAGGGGACCGCTGTAATGGTGAGTATCAGTGGGTCGGGGTGCGGGTATTTGCTTGTTCAAGAGTGGGTCCCTGCAGCACTCTTCCCCCCGACCCCTGCACAGGTGCCTCCATCAGCTAATGGAGGCACCCGTGCACGCAGTGGCTCTCTACGTTCATAGACACACACAGCCCTGTGGCAGGCCACTCCCCTTCTGTCTTTGATTGATGGCAGAAGGAGCCTATGGCTACTCTAGCTTTCAAAATAAAAGAGAGAAGCTGATTGGTTGCTGTGGGCAACTGCTCCAGATTTTGTCTGCTCCCGTTTGTATGTATTCCTCCCCATTATTTGCAGAACAGCCGGTCCCAGTGATTTTGCTGCATATAATGTCAAATGAGGAAGATTTGGGCGTATGAGTTACGGCCAAAGTACTTAGATGGAGATTTTTGCTGTTTGTTTTGCATACCTCACATGCCCAAGGTCCATAAGGGGTTAATTTACTGTGATGCCACCTGTTCATGGCACCGAAGTTACCAATGCGCACGTTCCTTTAAATATCTTATTTCAGAAAGACCTTATCAAAAACAATCTATTGGAAGCAAGGCTTATATCCGAATCCACAAACCATTTGTTTCAATATTAAAGTTACAATTTGAGATGACAGAGAGAATTGATATTAAAGTATTATAAACCCAAGTATAAAAATTTAATATATTGCAGCTTATCAGTCCTTAGATGTGGTGGCTGCTTTAGTTTTCATTTCAGTCTATTATGAATGCTGCTGCCAGACTCATCCACCTAATCAACTGCTCAGTTTCTGCAACCCCCCTGTGCCAATCCCTCCACTGGCTTCCATCCCTCTGCTGCTCCCAGTCAATCCCTCCACTGGCTTCCATCCCCCACCCCTCCCAACTTCAGGGAAGCCTATCCCACCTCAACCTAACCGCTCAACCATCATGTTCTCAAACAATTCATCCCCACACAGCTAGCTACCACCTGTTGTATATCTTGCCCCTCCTCCCTTTTAGATTGTAAGCTCTCACAGGCAGGGCCCTCCTTACCATCTTGTCTTGACTTATATTGTAACTGTAATGTCCCCTAATATTGTAAAAGGCTGTACAAACTGTTGGCGCTATATAAATCCTGTATAATAATAATTTGTCAAGCTTTTTTTCTATTATCCTCACCTTGTGATCCGGCCAGTAACACACTTCGTGTCCTAGGATTAGAGAGCTAACTTACTAAACTGTATCTATGGAGCAGCTGCGTCCTCACACTAGGGCAAAAGTTGTGTTAGGGCTACAGAACACCTCCGTCTCTCCTCTTCTCCATAGCATAGTGGAGAGTTGTTCTGCAGCTGCATTGGGGTAATTCAAAATGACTGGCACCAGAATTGGTACTGAGGAGGTCAGTCTGTCCTTTATGACATCATTCAATATTCTTCCTAAGTTTGTTCCAATTGTCATAGCTAGTGGAGAGTAAACGACCCGGAATGAACAGTTTTTGAGGAGTCAGATGACTCTTTAGTGTTCAGGAAGCATGAAACCACTTCTCTGTGGTGGGTGGTCGGACAAGTGGTGAGCGAAATCGGCCTGGGTTTGGTTCACTTGGATGTTGGCTCAACCCAGCCAGAAATCTGGGTTTGGCGAATGTTCAAGCCAACTGAATCCAGTGCCATCTGTGTTCTAGCTACCAATGATGTTGTGTGACTCACATAGAATCATTGGTTGCTAGGATGCTAGAGGCTGGGCCGCACAGCATCATTAGTTGCTAGGACCCAGGCGGGTACACCATACCAACCAATGACCCTGTGGGGTCGCCAACATCTTAGCAGCCAATGACGCTGTGCAGCTTAACCACCAGTAATCCAACAAAACTGTGTGGGCCGCACAGAATCATTAGTTGCTAGGACCCAGACGGGTAAACCATAACAACCAACGACCCTGTGGTGTCGTCAGCGTCCTAGCAACCAACAACGCTGTGCAGCTTAGCCACCAGTAAACCATCAAAACTGTGTGGGCCGCCCAGCGTCATTGGGTTCATTGGTGGGCAGGCAAACTAGCCAATCATTTGTCCATTTAGCAAACTACAAACAGCTTGGGTTGGGGTCAAACTCATGGTCAACCCAAGGCTCATCCCTACTTTCCTGGTTATAATAAATAGGAGACATGCAAAGGCCACTAGTTGGCTACACGTATCTCCATGTAGGCTGACATATCGGTTTAATTTAGCCCTAAAACTGACCTTCTAGTGAATTTCATCTGGTTTTATGTACGAACCATACGCTTAAGCCCTGAACAAAGGGATGCTTCTTCTCCAAAATGCGTTGGCTGTATGCGATGTTCTTAATCAATAAACATTCTATAGGAAGCATAAAGCTAGACGACCATTAGGTGCTCCTAACCCCATACTCAGGAACAGATTATCTGATGAATGACTCATCCTCTGTGATCAGAGAGGCAGCAGTCTAGGACCATAACCAGGTCTCTTTTGTGCTTTTACTAAAGGTTATCTGCCATAAAGGATTACACATACTGTACATGATCCTGACTCTTATCGGTCCAGCTCTGCCACACATCAACCTGAGCAACGCCGAAGCAAGTCAAAGCAATTAAAAACCCCTTGAAATCATGTTGCATTTCACGTGCTTTGGAGTATGATGTAAGTGCAGCACCAAGTTTTCTTTTCTCATGACCAGTTAACAGTTAACATACCCAGTAGAGATACTTTAGGTCGTACCCATGGCGGGATATACTCCCAAGGCCAGGTTCCTCAATGCGACAAGATGGTAAGGAGGGCCCTGCCCGTTACTTATTTTTTTTATTGTAATTTTATTATTAATCAATTTTAATGCATTTTTGTCTCACTTAATTTTAGTGCTATCACACAGGAGCTAACACGCACAGGATTATTTAACACCCTCTGTGGGAGTCATTCGTTTTTGCAGGAGCCCCAGACTAAACCTCTCACAATGGAGTGCATGGTGGGACTTGTAGGTCCATATCTGCTGGTGACGAGCCACAGGTCCCGTATTTATACAAGCCCTGAATGTAGTTGTTCTGACACTATAACCGAAATCTGCGTGGAGTCATAAGCTCTAGGGACGTCCCTGCAACTGGAACACTGCAGATAATTATTCAACATTCTGTATTTCACTTATAGATTAATCTAGATGTCCAACATTCCACAAACCTCCCCGAAAACATCATCTATTCTGAGCACAGCTGCATGCCAAAGCTTTGTTTTTGCAACAGAATCCACTTACAGCCTTAAAGTGTTACATTAAATAGTAATGCCGCAAAATTTAGTCTCCTTTACAATGTTCTTTCATACCCATTTTTGCATAATCCATGCTGTTATCATCCAATAAGACTTCTGTGGGCGGGCGTGGCCTCCGATTGGGCTTGAAATATGTAACTTATTTTCAGGGGCCCGCAAAGTGCTGGCAGTCATTACTCAAACCCAATTGAAACATTTAACTGAAAGCAACAGTTTAAAAAAAAAATCAATTACCTATTATTCATCTTAAAGTACCGTACGTGGTTACTTTAAAAACAATATGCATAGTGCAGTGATCTATGGCAACCAATCAGTGACAGCCTTTTGTTGTTCTTATCGCTTAAAAGTGATGTCAAATTATAGCTAATTGGTTGCTCTGGCCAGCTGCACACCCTTGTACATTCTCTACTCCATTGTTATTGTAAAAATGTAACAAAAAAAAGAATCTTACAACCCATCAAAGAATGATTGCAAATATTAAATATAATAATTAATAATAATAATAATAATATTATATAGTCTCGTAGCTCTGGTCTTCCATACCCCTAATTAGTTTGGTTGCCCTCCGCTGGACCTTTTCCAACTCAAGGACATCTTTTCTTAGTACTGGTCCATAGCCCGCCGATCGCCTATATGTGCTCGTTCATCCTGCCCCTACCCCCCCAAACCCTGACCTCTCACCTTGAATCCCATGATCCGCTGCCCCGTCTGCGGCCCGGGATCGGCTCGGAGGGCGTCAGGAGGAGGAGGACGGGAGATCAGCTCCTTGCTGATCTCCGTCCGGGCTGTGAATGCAGAAGTGATGTGTATTACATCACTTCCGCATTCACCTGTCAGTCATCTGGCTGCTATAGCCAGAGAGAAGAAGCTGATAAAGCAGAGACCCCTAATGTTCTAGAGACCCCTAATGTCTCCATAAAGAGGACCTGTCAGTGTGACTTATCATGTTACAATTTAACATGATATTCCCATCCCTTGGCGACCAGGAAAATTGCCAAGGGATGGGATCCAAAGTCAGAAGTACATTGTGACCTCTTTTTTATAGTCGAGATTTTTTTTTTTTTTTTTTAATGCCTTTGGTTGGTTTTAATTTCCCACCATTAGAATAGTCTCTCTTACAGTCCTCATTAAAAGAAGAAAAAAAAAAATCAGTCGCAAATATATATGATAAGGCCAAAAAAATTGACCAGGGTCTACCAAGTCCTGTTCCAAAACAGAGTTCTAAAACTGTTGATCCAAAAGAAGGCTCGGCAAAACCGGGAGCAAGTCAGCTGCCTGTTTATCCTCACTGGGGGTAATAATGTTGCCAATAAAATACAGTTGGGATACAATGAAAAAAAAAACAAGGATGCCTAATAAATGTATATCTTACCTGAGCTGCCATGAAGGAGAGATCCATGGTGGGTCGTAGCGGTGGACCTTAAGCCGTCTATAGAGTCTGATCGGCTGCGTTCATTTTCCAGGGGGCTTAGAGGCGTGGGCCAGGCTCCGGAGAGCGTTCTGGTAAGGGGACCCAATTAATCCAAGCCGCTTTTTCATGACATCTCCTTTGGCGTCTGTTTCCCCTGGCCACAGCTGACCAGACAAGAGCGTGTTTTGCTCTTCTGCCTGGGCAGGATCGGGTAAGCCTCTTGTTTAAGTGGCAGCGGTGCCATCCAACGTTAACCCTTCCCTTACCAGCTTTTGCCTAGGCGGTACCGAGAGACTAGATTCCTCCAATCTGATAAATCTGGGTCCTCCAATCTGTGAAAAAAGCAAAGCTGGGGGTCTGAGGGATTATCTCATCTTTTAATTCCGTTTTTTTTTTTTTTCATTCTTCTCCCCTGTCTCGCAGCTTGAGAGACCCCTGACACAGATTCGAGCTCAGCGACCGGATAAAATGTGCAGCGAGCCCTGAATCGAGATTCATTTATAAAGTGATGTGAGAGTTAACTGTGTTCCTATGGCAACAAATGCTCCTCGGGGACAGAGTGAATGAGCAACAGTACTGACAGGGAAGTTTCGGGCAGACGCGGTCTGTATTTGAAAGTTGGTGACCGTCAACTGCGATTTCACTTAAAGGGTCACGTTGGGGGGTTGAGACATGGCTGGAAGCATTTTTAAAAAAAGCAATTTCTGCACTGGCTGGTTCATTTATTTAAAGGAATTGATACATTGAATATATTTTATATACACTATATTACCAAAAGTATTGGGACGGCTTTACATGCACATGAACTTTAATGGCATCCCAGTCTTAGTCCGTAGGGTTCAGTATTAATAGGTCTGTAGCTACTGACTCTGCAGACAGTTGGCGACTTCTGCGCACTGTGCGCTTCAGCATGCGCTGACCCCGCTCTGTCATTGTACGCGGCCTACCACTTCGTGGCTGAGTTGCTGTTGTTCCCAGTTGCTTCCACTTTGTTATAATACCAGTAACAGGTGACCGCGGAATATTTAGTAGCCAGGAAATGTCACGGAACACCTGAATCCAATGATTTGGAGGGGCGTCCCAATACTTTTGGCAATATAGTGTACTTTATATACTCCTCTTCCCCTTTGACTACAATTATCTCTCAGAACAGAATTTGTTTCACCGCAGGTTTCCTTTGAAGCGTATCCAAATCCAAGGACAGAAACTTTAACATTGTGCAGCTCACCAGTCCTTAGATGCGGCGGCATTAGTTTTTCACCTGGTGATCCTGCCAGTAACTTGGTGGTCCTAACAGCACTTCCTGTTCTAGACTGACAATGCTCACTGACCGTACTGTATCCAGTGGTGTATTTTGGTTTTGTGCTGCCCTAGGCAACACTAAAAACTCAGCCCCCCCCCCCCATCTGAATTTGCCCCTGTTTAAGAAATTTTGCATAACCTGTCATTTTGTCAATACAGCGCGCCGCTGCCTGTGGCTGGGCTGCGCTGTTCGCCTTAGCTCGCCTAGGCCGACCAGGCAAATGCCCGGAATGTCTGATGGCCAGTTTTTTGCCTCCCCCTGGAAAGTGCCACCCAAGGCAAATGCCTACTTTGTCTTAAAGTAGATACACCTCTGATTGTATCTATGAAGGAGCAGTGTTGTCACCCAAGAACAGAAGGTATATTAGAACTAAAACACCTCTGCCTCCCTTCATCTTCATTACAAAGGGGGAGGTTGTACTGTGGTCCACAGAGAGTGCTCAGGCAGAGCTGGTAATGATTTTTATGATTCCAGGGCAGCACCGTCATCCTGGTATTTTTCAAAAACACCCAACATTTTGTACTGCACCGTGTACGCTTAGAATATTTTGCTTTAAAATGGTTTACTAATCTATGGATATTTAAAGGGGGCCTGCAGGACTACCATTACTCCATGGTCCTTAGAGAGTGCACCTCCAGGTATCATTGGACATTAACAGGTTAATTGCAAAGCATTGCAGGGTCTGCAAAGCAGTACCCTGGGTTTTGAGGGTCCCACCGTGCACAGTAATCTAATGATGACTGCAGGCACCTGGAGGGGTCCACTGTAAAGACTTGGGGCCACTTAACTGGGTAACATGATCCCAGGCATGACCTCAAATGTGTCAGTGATCTATTTATTTCAGAATCCTGCTGCACTCCTTACCAGGTATCCATGTCAGCCTGGGTGCTCGAAGTGACCGCAAATGGCACCACCGATACTGAAACTTGTTAAAGATGTCACCAGCACACCATATTGAAGTGAAGAACGTGTCTGTTTATTGACGCTTCATTTAGTACAAATAGTAACGTTTCGGGGCCACACTGGGTCCCCTTTCATCAGGCTTTCAAGCTTTCAAAAAAATAAAATAATTTCCACTTGGTTTGGTTATACTTAGAGCACATACTTTTCAATTAAATAGCATACATGCCACAAAAAAATCTCACAAATCGTTTCCATCATATAGGAGAAAAATAATACATATTGTGAGCTATTTAGGGTTAGAGGGAATTAGGGTTTGGTTTAGGTGATTTGTAGGGGAGGATAGGGAAATTAGGGGTTCATCCGGGATGGCATCTATTTGGGTTTACAATATCTAAAAAAAAAAAAATCAAACATGGCATGTTCCGTCCCTAAACTCTTTTATTGCCAACTACCTAAGTACAGGTGCTTTTGAAAGTCAATTAGCATACCACTCATACCATCCAAGTACAGCCACTTTTACATACTTTCAAATATATAGTGTACATACCACACAAAAAATCCATCATGGAGGAGATGGAAATATATTACATTTGTGATATTAGGAAATGTTGAGTTGGTTTAGGTCATTTGTAGGTAGGATAGGGAAATTGGGGGTTCATCCGGGATGGCATCTAATTTGGGTTTACAATAGCTGGAAGAAAAATGAAATATGGCATGTTCCTCTCTTAAATCCCTCTACTAGTAACTACCTGAGTACAGGTGCCCTTGGGAGTCAATTAGCATACTGCTAATACCATCCAAGTACAACCACTTTTACATGCCTTGCAATTAAATAGTGTACATGCCACACAAAAAAATCTCACAAATGTTTTCTATCATGGTGGAAATGGAAATATAATATATAGAGAGATTAGGGAATTTTGGGTTGGTTAAGGGCATTTGTAGGTAAAGATATGGAAATTGGGGGTTCATCCGGGATGGTAACCTAAGATTTAGAATTTCTGAAAAGAAAACCATATATGGCATGTTTTTCCCTTACACCTTTCCATTGGTAACTGCTTAAGTACCGGTGCACTTGGAAGTCAGTGCACTACTAATACCATCCAAGTACAGCCTCTTTTACATGTTTCAGGTAAATAGTGTACATGCCAAAAAAAAAAACTTCAAATATTTTTTTTGTCATGGAGCAGATGGATATATAATACGTTTAGTAAGATTAGGGAATTTGGGGGTTGTTTAGGTCCTTTTTAGGTGTGGATAGGGAAATTGGGGGTCCATCCGGGATTGGCATTTAATTCGGTTTCCAATAGCTGAATAAAAAATAAAAAGACATGTTCCTTCCTTAAACTCATCCATTGGTAACTACCTAAGTGCAGGTGCTCTTGGAAGTCAATTAATGTACTACTAATGCCAATCCACGTAAAGCCACTATTACATATGTTTCAATTAAATAGTGTACATGCCACTAAAAACATCTCACAAATATGGATGAAAGGGAAATATAAATATAATGGAAATATAATAAATAAATTATTAAATAGAAATATAATACATGTGTTAGATTAGGGAATTTTGGTTTGGTTTAGGGCATTTGTAGGGGAGGATAGGGAAATTGGGGGTTCATCCGGGATGGCATCTAATTCGGTTTCCAATAGCAGAAAAAAAAGGCATGTTCCTTCCTTAAACTCATCCATTGGTAACTACCCAAGTACAGGTGCTCTTGGAAGTCAGTCAGTCAGTCAGTCAATTAATGTACTACTAATACCCTTCCAAGTACAGCCACTTTTACATGTGTTTCAATTAAATAGTGTACATGCCAGAAAAAATCTCCCAAATATCGAAATAAATGGAAATATAAATATAATGCAAATATAAATAAATAAATGGAAATATAATACATTTGTTAGATTAGGGAATTTTGGTTTGGTTTAGGGCATTTGTAGGGGAGGATAGGGAAATTGGGGGTTTGTCCGGGATGGTATCTCATTGGGTTTACAATAGAAAAAAAAAATCAACTATGGCATGTTCTCCACCAAACTCCACCACTGGTAACTACCTTAGAACAGGTGCTCTTACTCACTAATAATACCATCCAACTACATCCACTTTTACATCATTTTCTAATAAACATTGTATATAGTGGCATCTAATTGGGTTTACAATTTTTTTAATAAAATCAAATGTGGCATGTTTCTTCATTAAACCCCTCCACTGGTAAGTACCTAAGTACTGGTGCTCAGTGTACTATTGATACAAATATAAATATATAATATAATATAAAAGAAAAATAATCATAATAATAACAAATATAGTACTCTTTACCTTTAAACCACTTTACTCTGAATTTCAGATACATTGCGATCAGATTGATTGTTCTTTTTTACAGCGGTTCTGAGCTGGGTTGCATCCTCTCTATATTTGACTCTTTGCCTTTCAACCCCCTTTTCTGTGAACACAAATTAGTCCGTATTCATTCTCAGGTTCAGATTCAAGGTAGAGAACTTCATTGGGCAGTGAATGGCAAGATGTAACTTACAACCAATCACCATGTAGACTTTCTAACCAGTGTTGCCGTTCAATGTTCATGCTAGACTGGTGGGGACCTTTGAATGACTACAGAACACTCCAATTTATTTTATTTATTGGTATTTATATGAGGCCGACAATTGACGCAGCGCTTAACATAGTGCGCATTCACATCAGTCCCTGCCATCAAGGAGCTTACAATCTGAGGTCCCTAGCTCACATGCATACATACAAGGGCCAATTTAGACAGGAGCCAATCAACCTTCCAGCATGTCTTTGAACAGTGGCGTCACAAGGGGAGTGCAGCCTGCACCCAGGTGTCACCATTGGAGGGGGGACACCAAAATGACTGACAGTCATTTTGGTGTCACCCCCTATGAAAAGTCAGGCACTCAGTCTTGGACCGAGAGCCCAACCGTGTCAGGAGAGAGGAGGGCACCCGGCGACATACCTCATCCCGCCGGGTGAACGTCCCCTTCTCTCTCTGTCGGTTAAACTTCTTCCGGCAGGCGTCAATAAGATGGCCGTGCATGTGTGATGATGTCACGGC